TAAGAGAGATAATCTTAGCGGGAGGAAAATACTTAGAGATAAAAGCATCTTTGTACTTGTTCCAAGAATCAATACTATTTTTAGGCAAAGACGACAACCAAACTTTAGCACGATCTCTAAGTGAAAACGGAAATAACTTTAATTTGACAATATTGTTATCCGTATCTTTCTTCTTTTGCATATCACACAAATCAACAAAATTGTTTAGATGAGTAGCGGCATCTTCACTAGGAAGGCCGGTGAATTAATCTTTCATAACAAGATTCAGCAAAGCGGTATTGATTTCACAAGACTCGTCATTATTAAGAGGAGCAATCAGAGTACTAAGGAAATCATTATTATTGGTATTCGAGAAGTCACACAATTTGGTATTATCTTGCGCCATGGCAACAAGTAATCCAATACACAAGCAAACAGAAAGGCGAACAAGAAAAAGGCAAATGGGAAAGAGAGGAGGAGATTGGGAAAGAGAGGGCGAATAAAACGGCAAGGGTGAAGTGGGGGAGAGGAAAACGAGAGGCAAATAATGTAATGCGAGAGACAGGGATTGTGATGGGTACTTGGTATGGTTGACTTTTGCGCAAACTCCTCGGCAACGGCGCTAGAAATTCTTTTTGCTACCTCTTGAGCGCTGCGTTGGATTTCCCCGAAGAGGAGAGGATGATGCAGTAAAGTAGCGTAAGTATTTCCCTTAGTTTTTAAGAACCAAGGTATCAATCCAGTAGGAGATCACGCACAAGTCCCTCGTACCTGCACAAAATGATAGCTACTCACAACCTACGCGATTAGGGGTTGTCAATCCCTTCACGGTCACTTACGAGGGTGAGATCTGATATAGATGATAAGTAATATTTTTGGTATTTTTGATATAGAGATGCAAAGTGAAAAATAAAAGGCAAAGTAAAAGCAAAGCAAGTAATAAAGTAATGGAGATTGATATGATGAGAATAGACCCGGGTGGCTTCTCTCACGAGCATAGATATTCTACGGTGGGTGAACAAATTACTGTTGAGCAATTGATAGAATTGAGCATATTATGATTATATCTAGGTATGATCATGTATATAGGCATCACGTCCGAGACAAGTAGACCGAAACGATTCTGCATCTACTACTATTACTCCACTCATCGACCGTTATCCAGCATGCATCTATAGTATTAAGTTAAAAACAGAGTAACGCCTTAAGCAAGATGACATGATGTAGAGGGATAACTTCATGCAATATGATAAAAACCCCATCTTGTTATCCTCGATGGCAACAATACAGTACGTGCCTTGCTGCCCCTTATGTCACTGGGAAAGGACACCGCAAGATTGAACCCAAAGCTAAGCACTTCTCCCATTGCAAGAACTACCAATCTAGTTGGCCAAACCAAAAGGATAATTCGAAGAGACTTGCAAAGATAACTCAATCATACATAAAATAATTCAGAGAAGATTCAAATATTATTCATAGATAAGCTGGATCATAAACCCACAATTCATCGGTCTCAACAAACACACCGCAAAAAGAAGATTACATCGGAATATATCTCCACAAGAGAGGGGGAGAACGTTGTATTGAGATCCAAAAAGAGAGAAGAAGCCATCTAGCTACTAACTATGGACCAGAAGGTCTGAAGTAAACTACTCACACTTCATCGGAGAGGCTATGGTGTTGATGTAGAAGCCCTCCGTGGTGGATGCCCCCTCCAGCAGAGCTCCGGAACAGGCCCCAAGATGGGATCTTATGGATACAGAAAGTTGCGGTGGTGGAATTAGGTTTTTGGCTCCGTATCTGATCTGTCGGGGGTACGTAGGTATATATAGGAGGAAGGAGTACATCGGTGGAGCAACAGGGGGCCCACGAGGTAGGGGGCGCGCCCTAGGGGGGGCACCCCCCATCCTCGTGACCGCCTCTGTTACTTCTTGGAGCAGGGTCCAAGTCTCCTGGATCACGTTTGGTGAGAAAATCATGTTCCCGAAGGTATCATTCCGTTTGGACTCCGTTTGATATTCTGTTTTTTTTTGAAACACTGAAATAGGCAAAAAACAGCAATTCTGGGCTGGGCCTCCGGTTAATACGTTAGTCCCAAAAATAATATAAAAGTGGAAAATAAAGCCCAATATAGTCCAAAACAGTAGATAAAGTAGCATGGAGCAATCAAAAATTATAGATACGTTGGAGACGTATCACACGTCACGCGCGACGTCGTCTTCGATGAGCGCGCGAGCTGGGACTGGCAGCAGGAGGAGAACGCTCCCGGCGCGGCGACATTCACTATCGAGTACGGGCCGTCCGCTGTGCTTGAGGGGGTGCGTCGCTCTGCGCCGGCGACGCCGGCCCCTCCACCTCACGCCAACTCTAGCGGGGACTCAACTCCAGCAGGAGCCGACGCGGCCACTCCATTCATGCCCGCGAGCACCAGCGGGAGGGATCTCAATCCTAAGCTCAGCCCTTCCGTGTCACGCTCTCCGCCAAGAGTCTCGCCGACTCCGATCGAGCCGCCACCAGCTGACCACGCGTGCGCGGGACGGCATTGTGCAGCCGAATCAACAGCTCACGGACTACATCCTCGACCTTGATGACCTAGACGACGAGGAGCTGCACCTCGGGCTGGCGGAGGAGCTGGCCTCTCTGGATGAGGCGCAAGGAGATGCAGCCTGGAATCGCGCTATGGACGAGGAAATGGCGTCTATCCAGGAGAATCGCACCTAGCATCTCGCTGATCTTCCTCCTGGTCACTGCCCCATTGGCCTCAAGTGGGTCTACAAGGTAAAACGTGATGCCCAGGGCGCGGTGGTGCGGCACAAGGCCCGCCTCGTCGCCAAAGGATTCGTGCAGCGCAAGGGCGTGGACTATGAAGACGTGTTCGCACCTGTCGCCTGCATGGAGTCAGTACGTCTCCTGCTTGCTCTGGCCGCGCGCGCGGGCTGGGGCGTGCATCACATGGACGTGAAGAGCGCGTTCCTGAATGGGGAGCTCCAAGAGGAGGTCTACGTCGCGCAACCACCTGGGTACATCGCCGCCGGGTAGGAGAGCAAGGTGCTGCGCCTCGACAAGGCCTTGTACGGCCTGAAACAGGCGCCGCGCGCCTGGAACCAGAAGCTGGACGCATGCCTCGCGTCGCTCGGGTTCGAGCGCAGCACCACCAAGCATGCCATCTACGGGTGCCACAATACCTCGTCTCGTCTCCTTGTGGGGGTGTACGTCGATGATCTGGTCATCACCGGCAACGACGACGGGGAGATCACGCGGTTCAAGGAGGAGATGATGAAGCTCTTCAAGATGAGCGATCTCGGTCTCCTAAGTTTTTACTTGGGGATCGAGGTGCACCAGGCACGAACTGGTATCTCTCTGAACCAGACGGCTTATGCTGAGAAGATCCTAGAGCGAGGCGGCATGACAGGGTGCAACCCGTGCGCGGTGCCCATGGAGCCCAGGCTGAAGCTCAGCAAGCAGAGCACCGCGCCGCTGACGGATGCGACGGAGTACCGCGGCCTAGTTGGATGTCTGCGTTACCTGGTTCACACCAGGCCAGATATCACTTTTTGCCGTCGGCTATGTCTCGCGCTTCATGGAGGCGCCCACCACCAATCACTTGGCTGCGGTGAGGAAGATTATGCGCTACATCGCCGACACTCTGCATTGGGGCTGCTTCTACCCAAGGGGGAAAGGAGATGGCCACCTCGCCGGATACAGCGACATGGGAGGAGACGTCGACACACGACGGAGCACGACCGGTGCCATGTTCTTCTACGACAACAGCATCATCAGCTGGCAGCCACTCAAGCAGAAGGTCGTCGCCTTATCGTCCTGCGAGGCTGAGTACATCAGCGCCACGACGGCGGCATGCCAAGGAGTTTGGCTGGCTCGTTTTCTCAGCGAGCTGAAGAAGGAGAGGCCGGCGTGTTTCCCACTCTGGATGGATAACAAATCAGCCATCTCACTCGCAAAGAATCCGGTGTTCCACGAGCGGAGTAAGCACATTGATATCCGTTTCCACTTCATCAGGGAGTGTGTGGAGAACAAGCAAGTGGAGGTGGAGTTCGTCGGAACGAACGGGCAGCTCGCCGATCTTCTCACCAAGGCTCTCGGGCGCGTGCGCTTCACGGAGCTGCGTGCAAGGATCGGCATGGTAGAGGTTGACAAGGGCTCAGGTTTTAGGGGGTGATGTGTTGAAATAAAACCCCAAGCCCTGTCACGGTTCAGTTAGTTTTTTCTGTCAGGCTAGTTTCCCGTTTTCTTCAGTTTTTCAGTTAGCTAGTTTAGCTCGCGGGTTCAACAGCCTGGAGCGAGTCTCGCGCCTCGTCGATCTGTTCGTGGGATGGCACGAGCATAGTGGATCACGCGGGCGCGTAGTCAGGGGCCACGATCCCCGGTTTCCTTTCTGTACTCTGAATAAAAGGCAAGGAATAGAAGCAGAAAAGCTGTGAAGTTTACAGCGCAAAATCCTTGTGTTCTCCGTCTACCTAGAGCTCCACTCCCGCGTGTGTGTGTTCATCGTGTTGGCACTCCGGGAGTGCTGACAGAGTTTTGGTAGCAAGTTCATAATAAAGCATATATACTAGGTATAGAGTTTTCGGCCCCTAACTTGGAAGTTGGATTATTTATTATAAACACACACAGGACGACAATACAGATACAGATACAGGTGCCTTAGGGCAAACCAACTTGGAGACAAGCATGCGTAAATAAATAACGTGGTGTGGACAGACAACAAACTGCGTGCGTGTGTGCAGCAGGATAGCTTTGTTCCCACTTAATTTGTGTGCTCAAATCTTGTGCCCACATTTGGGGATGTAAGATTTCAAGGAAGGAAGCCTGAAGAAGAATATAATAGCCATGGTTGAAGATGCTTGCAGATTCATTAGGTAGTAACGACGGACGGAATAACCTGCAAATTAAGACGACGGTCTGTTGGTAAAAAATAGAAAGGAAGAAAGATCCAACAAGATTGATACCAAGTCGGAACCCAGCCACACGTGCGGATTGCCTACCTTGGTCGTGCCAGGAAATCAATCACGCTCCTTCTCGATCTCCCCCGCCCCACTGCTGGTAGCTTGTGGAACCTGTGTGCTCTTTTTCGCTGGAAACCACTCCTCTTCGTGGCCAGAGACATCAAACACCATCTGATTGGGATGCTCCTGGGCTTCTTTCCTCACGACGTCAATCATGGCGCTGATGCACGGGCTGCTCTCTGCTGCTCCTCCATACCATTCCTCGTTGCATCTAAATTCGACCCATAAGAGGTTCCGGAGGTGGCCGATGCCCAGCCGAGGGTCTCCTTTATTTGCAGCTGGTGGTGGGCCACCGTAGAACTGGAACTCGAAAAGAAGCATAAACAACCTGGGCATTGCTCCTTCCTGGAAGGTAAATTGTGGCATGCACCGGCTGTCAACAACGAGTTGCTTGAGCCTCCGGAACCCTTCACCGCTGATGGCTATAGGCTCTCTTGGGACGACCTCAAACCTTAGCGTGAGTTTGTCCAGGTTGGGCATCTCCCGCAGAATCTTGAGATCCTGCTCCTCCTCTAGTTTGCAGATCCTGATATTCAAGGTGGCAAGGTCGTTGAAGTGATATTTGATCCACCGTGGAATGTGCATGTGCTTCGTGCCAACAATTAGGCCCCCGCGATCGCCAACCCAACGCGCCATTTGGACTGACAGGATCTCCCCGGCTAACTCAGACACAAGATCACTCTTGTTCCAGGCTTTGCGGACGCACCAGGGCACTCCTTCCAATTTCGGAAGCTGACTAGCTTCCCAGGGTAGTGCACCGATGGCCGTGTCTAGTTTCAAAATCTCCAGATTCTTTAGCCTTCCGATTTCCCTTGGTATCTTCACGACCCCTTCACCACGCAAGAGCAGCCGCTTCAAATTCTGGAGGTTCCCAATCTCACGAGGCAGCTTTTTGAGCCATCTGTTGTAACTCAGGTCCAGGGTCTCTAAATGTTGTAGGTCCCCGATCTCAGTGGGTAGCCTTGTGAACATTGCCCCACACATGTCTAGTGTTTTCAAATGTTGCAACTTCCCAATCTGGTGAGGCAGCTCTTTGAGCTCTGCGTAATGGAGGTTCAGACTTTCCAAATTATGGAGGTTCCCGATCTCAGCAGGCAGCCTTCTAGGCCTGCTATAGCTCAGGTCCAGAGTCTCTAAATGCTGCAGATCCCCTATCTCCCTAGGCAGCTTTGCCAGCTTTTTGTTGTGACTCACGTCTAGAATCTTCAATTGCGGGAGGTCCCCAATCTCGCTGGGTAACTCTGTGATCCATGTGAATCTTATCTGTAAAGTTTCCAAATAGTGCAGCCTCCCTATTTCTGGTGGTATCACATTAATTCCCGTCCCATCTAGGCCGAATAGGTGCCTCAGACGGAGAAGTCCACATATATCTTTCACATGATGATTCCCAAGAGCCTTTCCGAATTCAAAATTCACATAATGGTAATCCCGACGAACCTTTTCGAATTCAAGATACTGCTGATGATATTGAAGATCCAACACTCGCACATGTTTCAACTTCTCAAAAGGGATATATCTCTTGGCACCTTCAAAAACAACAAGGGATCGAATCTGGGACCAATCCAAGCCTAACAAGGGATCCACTCCCTCCGCTGCACCATCATCAATTGGATAATCGTCTATACATAGACGATGTATTTGACAGGAATATGCAAATGTGATGTCGGAACTGCAAGTAAAGAATTTATCTTCATGCAATTTCCATCTAAGGAAATTTCGCATCATCGGATGATTCATTTGGTAGTAGGACATGCCCAATGAATCACCCACATGCAGCATAAATCCCCTGTTGCAAAGCTCTTCGAAGTAACATTTTCCTGTATCCTCTTTATAAGTAAATCCTTCAGCGACCCATCTCATGACCAAATCATTCATGTCAAAACGGTAATTCTGAGGGTATATACTGCAGTACAACAAACAAGTCTTCAACATATGGTGAGGAAGATCATCGTAGCCAAGCTGCAAGCTCTCTACCAACGGTTCGAACCCTGGAGTGTTCTGGATTCCACTTTTCTTAACTTGCTTCTCAATCATGTCTTGCATATCACGTGCCTTTACATGTACCCCTAGTTGTTCTTGTTGCTCTCTGACAATTGCCATTGCTGAAAACATGCAAAGTAGTGCTAACGGCAGACAACAACACATGCGCACAATAGGATGGTCACGGTCAAAACCTTCTCCAACCATGTCAGGCTTCATCCAAGCGGTGAAATCTTGCACATGAGGTCCGTAGAACCATCTTTCCTCTTCAAAACTCCATCCAGGATTCATTCTGATGCAGAGCTTGTTATAATCGATATCATCTGATACAGAATCAATACGGGTTGTCATGACAATTCTACTGCCCAGATTATTTTGTGGAATAGACTTGCTGATGATCTCCCATTCTCCATGATGCCATATGTCATCAATTACTACTAGGTACCTAGGCAAGTTGGTTACACAAATAGTTAGTAGTAGACAAACACCGCATGAGGCTGTAAATCATTCTTTGGTACTCACATTCTACAATGTACTCACTCTGTATCAAAATATAAGACATTTTTTAGGCAAGTTCAGCCTACGAAACCAGAAAGTCAATTTGGCTCCCGGGAGCATTTGCTCCCTGGGCCAAAAAACAAATTTTGAAATGAAAAAAAAATCAAGATACATTTTTTGTGTGTACTTAGTCACATCCAAATGTCAGCTGCAAATTTTGAGGCAAAAAGATTTGGCTTATATAAAAAAAACAAATCGAACACCAATAGTTACCCCAAAATATCACCCCAAATTATATATTTTTTTCCGAAGAAACACCGCCGCTCTGTTTCGCATGAAATTTGTCATGCATGTTTGGGACACTATATAATCATCTACAACAAATTCAGAATTTTCGAAAACATTTAATATTTTTTTGTGTTACTGTTCATCCAGGAGCCGGAACGCCAGTCTTATATTTTCGTACAGAGCTAGTATATTATAGTTGTGGCCAATTAAATGGCTGACTGCGAAAAAAAAGGAGCGGTGACGTGTCCTTATACTCAGTCACACGTTACACGCCACAACCCTTCTTTTTAGTACGGGAGTAGTTGTTTTTTTTTTTTGCATGGTTGTTGGTTGAGGCTTGACGCACTCCCTAAATATAAGTCTTTTTAGACATTTTAAATGAACTCCAACATAAGGATGTATAGATTCACTCATCTTGCTCCGTATTTAGTCACTTGTTGGAAACTCTAAAAAGACTTATATTTGGGAACGGAAGGAGTGTTAACTATTCACGATGAACAATCCCAAAAAAGACCATTCAAGATGAACATTGGCACCTCCCAGCGGCGAAGCAGCGGCATTCCACGGTGTTGCCCTCCCCTGCTGGAGAAGCTGGCATGCACGCACACACACAACACCTAGGCTGGCAACCCCGCCGCGCACTAGATCCTCTGCCCCTTGTCCGGACTGGCCCCGCCTCCATGCGCCCTCCATCCGCCGCGTGCCGCTCCACCTTCATGGCACCGACTGATGGTGTCAAATCTAGTAGATTTCCAGTAGTGGGTCCTGAGCTGATAGCCTTGGTGTGAGGGTAAGAGGGGACACAAGAATTTACCCTGGTCCAGGATCTCTCGAAGAGATAACGCCCTACGTACTGCTTAATTAATTGTATTGATTTCGAGTGAGTACAAGTTACAAGTCGATCTACCACGAGTTTGTGTGTGTGAGGCTGTTGTCTACGGTTCTCACCCCTTGGTTTAAATAGATATCGGGGTGTGCCTAGGGTTTACATAGGTCGGTTACATCTACGTGTAATAATGACAAAGACGACCTCTAAATCTTGAAGTATGAGCCAAGTCTTCGGAAGATATCCATCTTGGCGCTCCTAGGCCCGATGAACGTGGCCCAATGGTTGATTATGATGGGGGTCCTCGGATTGGCCCATATGGCCGGGAGCCGACGTCGCAACCACCCCTTAGTCCAAGAGACCAATAGTAGCCCCCCGAATCGGTCTTCAAGTCAAGGATGCTCCTCAGTCCTTCAGAGTTGTTCTCTGTCTTTGTTCATCGGTCTTGCAAGCTGGTTCATGAAGTCTCCGTACGATTTCCTTTAGTGGTCAAGTCTTGGCGGAGGAGTTTTTATACCTCATGAATCCGAGGAGCCCTCTAAACTTTCCTGAACTCTTTAACAGAAGTTTTTACGGTCTTTGAGGAGTTCCTCATATTCGAGGATCTCTACCCGCGCACTGTTGCCTTAAGGGCGAACCAATTTCCTTACTCGGGTCCGGTCACGGCCCAAACCCACCCTGACAACTTTGACCGCCTCAACCTCTTCAGACGTGTTGTCATATCAAGGGTCTTCATAGTGTGTACGTGCATCTTTGGACCCCACCATTGGGACGTCGAATCAAAAAAGTTTAATGTGCCCCAAGACACATAAAGTGGCACCATTAACCGCCCCCTCGATCCCCGCTCAAGCTTACCGCACGATGCTTGGGAAATATGCGGGTTTACCAATGCATGACTCAAGCGTCACATCATTGCATGGCAAGAATATGTTGTAAAAAGTCGCAACTGCAGGGCAAAAATATTTTACATCCCCCATAACTTTACTTGCTCCGATCCCACCGGTCTTTTCTCCCTTCGTTTGCCTCAGGGAAATCGCCCAATCCATCACCGCACGAGAGAGCCTGTCGCCATGGATTCCGCAGTTGCCTCATCTTCGCACTCCACCGGCCTTCTCGAGGGAGAGTGGAAGAGATACTCTGTGACTCAAGGTCAATTGGATCGGCTCACTGCATTGGGATATTTGCCTCCGTCGGAGATTGCGTTTTCCCGCTTTGGATTGGTTGCCCTCAACGGGAACTTCATTCAAGATCCCTAGTCCAAGCCTCAGGACCATGAGTGGGTATGCTTCATTACTTTCCTTCTTATGGGCCTTGGCTTTCCAATTCATCCTTTCTTGAGGGGTTTGTTACACTTCTACGGCCTTCGGCTCCACCACCGGTCACCCAACTTGATCCTTCACATAGCTTGTTACATCACTTATATGAAGCCTTCCTCGGATGCTAGCCATATTTAGATTTGTGGTGCAAATACTTTAGCATAGTTCCACATGTTCGAGGAGGTTTGCTATTTGATTATGGCGGGGTCGAGGTCTGCAAGGTAGCCGGGTCTACATACTTCGGCAATACCCCGAAAGAGCTAAACGAAAACTAGCAAGAGGAGTGGTTCTACCTTCTCGACATGCCTTTCAAAGACCCTTCTCAGATGTGCCTCGCCCAATTCTTGCATGTACATCCACGAAAATGGTACATGATACGTCTCCAACGTATCTATAATTTTTCATTGTTCCATGCTATTATATTATCAATCTTGAATGTTTTATATACACTTTCAAGCAATTATATATCTTTTTTCGGACTAACCTATTAACCAAGTGCCCACTGCCAGTTGTTATTTTTTTTGCTTGTTTTTGGTTTCGCAGAATATTAGTACCAAACGAAGTCCAAATGCCACGAAACTTTTTGGAGATTTTTTCTAGACAAAAAAGACACTAGATGCTTCGGGAGAAGACCAGACGATTTACCATGGGCCCACAAGACACCTGGGCGCGCCCAGGGGTTAGGCGCGCCCTAGTGTGTTGTGGGGCCTACGTGGCTCCGTTTGACCTAATTCTGCCTCTATAAATTCTCTAAAATCGTGAAACCAATAGGGGATTACATACTTTTTCCGCCACTGCAAGTTCTAGAACGACGAGATCCCATCTGGAGGCCTTTTTCAGCACTGTGTCGGAGGCGGGATCCGATCACGGAGGGGGCTCTTCATCATCCTTGTTGGCCCTCCGATGACATGTGAGTAGTTTACCACAGACCTACGGGTTCATAGTTAGTAGCTAGATGACTTCTTCTCTCTATTAGATCTTCAATACAATATTCTCCTCAATGTTCTTCGAGATATATTCAATGTAATGACTTTTTGCAGTGTGTTGTCGGGACCCAATGAATTGTGAATTTATGATCACATCTATCAATGAATATTATTTGAGTTTTCTCCGAACTCTATTATGCATGATTTTTATAGCCTCATATTTTTTTCTCTGATTTATTGGCTTGGTTTGGCCAATTAGATTGATTTATCTTACCATGTGAAGAGGTGCTTTGTGATGGGTTCGATCTTGCGGTGCTCAATCCCAGTGACAGAAAGGGACATGACATGCATGTATCGTTACTATTAAGGGTAAAAAGATGCGATTTATTTCATCGTGAGTTTATCTTGTTTACATCATGTCATCTTGCTTAAGGCGTTACTCCATTCTTCCATGAACTTATTACACTAGATGCATGCCGGATAGCGGCTGATGTGTCGAGTAATGGTAGTAGATGCAAAATAATTTCAGTCTACTTATCTCGGACGTGATGCCTATATACATGATCATTGCCTTGAATATCGTCATAATTATTTTCTTTTCTATCAATTACCCAACTGTAATTTGTTTACCCGCCGTATGCTATTTTTATGAGAGAAGCCTCTAGTGAAAACTATGGCCCCCGCGTCTAACTTTTATCATCTATTAAAACTTAAAATACATCACTGCAATTTTCTTGTATTTATTTTATTTTGTATTTTTGTCTGATCTATCTATCAAAAAAAACTATACAATTTAATCTTGCTCATAACCGTCAAGGGATTGACAACACCTTGTTTGTATTGGTTTGCAAGTATTTGTTGTGTGTGTGCAGGTGTTGTTTACTAGTCATTGCTTGTTTCTCCTACTAGATTGATTACCTTGGTTTTACAACTGAGGGAAATACTTACCTCTATTGTACTGCATCATCATCTCCTCTTTGAGAAAATCGCAACACAACTCACAAGTAGCAGGAAGAATTTCTGGCGCCGTTATCAGGGAGACATCGTCAACAACTATCAAGTACCTATGCATAAACCTTCGTCTGCTTGCATCTACATTATTTGTCATTTGCCTCTCATTGTCATCTCCCCCACTTCTAAAAAGTTTTTACAAAAATACAAAAATATTTTCCGTTTGCCATGTTGCTTGTTTGCTTGCTTTTTGCCGTCATGTCATGACTCAAAAACAAAAAAGAAACAAGAAAAATAAAGATAACTATGGATCCACTTAAAGTTTTCAACTTAGATCATCTTCGATTCATTTGTGCTCGTGCTGAAACCCTAGCTAGTTTAGTTGATGGAAAATCTTTAGATGAGCATGCTCCTTTTGTTCGTCACCGTTTGTCTCAGAAAGGGAGACTCTGATGGATAAAATAAATTGTATGCTATGCTATGCTTGCAATCTATGTGAAATTTATGATTTTAATTGTTGCTCGGAGAACCCTAAAAACATCTTCCCTACCGATGTGAGTTTAATGATAATGAAATCTTATCTTCTTATTCCAAAGGTGTTTATAGTTACTATGATATCGAACAAATGGAAGAATTTTTTGCTTTTAAGGGCGCTTATGAAGTTGCTTCTTTGTTTGAAAAGTATGATATTGCTCTCTATAAATCTGAAATTTTTGCCATACTTAAATATTGCTGTGAAAACTATGCTTCTAATGCCTATGTTAGTGAATTCATTAGGAGAATGTCTGCTGCTTTGGAAGAGAATAAAGATATACATGAATCTATAGATAATTTGACGAATTTTTTTGAAGATGACAAACATTTATAAAAAATTCATCATCATCGTTTGAATTTAATGAAGATTTTTTTTCTATCAAAAAATTTGAATTCAATGAAAAAAATTGAATTTCAAAAAATGTTCACCGGTTTGAACAAGTTGTTCCCAGATTTCACACAATTTTTGTGAATTTTTTAAGAGAAACCAAAAAATGAAAAATGAAAATAAAATAAATGGAAAACGAAAATGAAAAACAAAAATGAAAAACGGAAATGAAAATAGAAAGGAAAATAAGGAAAAATAAAAAGAGGTAAAAACGAAAAAAATTGTTTTGGGATGGTGCTAGAACCTTCTCAAAACCAGAAACGGCTAGCTCGGTCAGCCCAAACCTTCAGCCGTTTCTGGTTTGTTTTTTCCTTTTCCTTTTCTATTTTCTTCTTCAATTTTTGACTATTTTGGCATTTTTTATTTTCAAATTCGTTAACACTTTTTTTGTTCATCAAATTCCAAAAAATGTTCAACCATGTAAAAAATGTTCAACAATCAGAAAATGTTCATCAAATTCAATTTATTGTTCATCAGATTAGAAAATGTTCATAAAGATTCAAAATTTGTTCATCTAAGTAAAAAATTGTTAAACAGATTCTTTTTTTTTGTTCTTTGTTTTAAAAAAAATCATCACATTCAAAATTTGATCACTGAATTAAAAATTTATTCATCATTTTTACAAAAAATGTTCATCAAATTTAAATTTTGCATAATTTTTTAAAAAGACTTCTTGAAAACAAATTTTGTTTATCAAATTAAGACAATGTTCATCAGATGCCAAATTTGTTCATCAGATGCCAAATTTTGTTTATCAAATTTGTTCATCGATGTTCAAAAAATGTGCATTCCTTTTTAAATCACGAACATTTTTTGAATTCCAGAAATGTTTTTGAATCCGGTGTAAGTTTTTTTAATTCCGTGAGCATTTATCATTTCACAAACATTTTTTTCAAATCATGAACAATTTTTGGATTCACGAACGTTTCACAGGTTGTAACTTTTTTGAAATCCCAAATTAGTCTTATAATGGAAAATAATTTAAAAAAACAACAAAAAGGATGCTCCCACTTTCCTGCCTCACACAGGGGCCGGCCCATGAGGGAGCGGGGGGTCCGCGCTCCGTCATTTGCTGGCGTGTACAGTGCTAAATAGGAGGTCTCCTCCGGAGTGCCTCAAGCGGACTAGACTTTTCAGAATGGACTTGGATCACGTTGGGCCTGCAAAGTTGTTCTCTATTTTGGGCCTACCAATGGGATCCCGCCATCATTTGTGGTTAGAGAAAAGAAAGTACGTATAGCTAGCTCAAGTATAGTTCTAAAAAAACTAGCTCAAGTATTCTTTCCGCCATAGTCAACCGTTAGGGCATGTACAATGGTTGATAAGATAGTCTTATCTTAAATCTTGCATGTGATTTAGAGATGACAAAAATATTTGTCTACAATGGGTCATCTCTTAGCCTTATCTTCAATAACTAGCAATTCCTAAAAATGTGGTGAGACATATTGTGCTAAGATATCACCTCTTGTCTTCTCTTAAATAAGATAAGACAAGCCTTTTCTTATGAGATATCTCTCCTCCACCTCATCATCTATCCTACGTGACACTCCTAAGATAGCACCATTGTACATGCCCTTAGTACGACGTGTAGGACTACTAATTAGTAAATCCATATTCGGACGGGGCTTCGTTGTATATATATTTTTTTGAAACATCATGACTTTATTTCTCAAATAATCGCAAGATCATTTACAAGGGTATGAGAAATAAAAACAGGGAATGTAGAGTCTTAATAACAAGAAGATCTATCGCTAAACAAGTTCCTCGCAAGATCAATTGCAACTTCATTTGCTTCCCGCAGGTAGTGGGTATGTGGAACATCTGCAAAGTCCAGTGCTAGCTCTTGGCATTCAAGAACAATGGCTATGTCCGAGCCCACATAATCATCTGCTTTTTGCACCACCTCCGCAGCAAAGGTGCAATCTATTTCTATAATGATTTTATTGCACCCAATTCTCCGTTCTAGGTACAAACCATTTCGTATCGTAGTAATCTCTGCCGTTTAAACACAATTTGAGTGCTGGAATTATTTACTACAATGCAAAAAGTGCACTATTATATGGTTATTCTTGCCTATTAAAAAATTCAATTTCTATGAGTGTTGTGTGCAAATTTTCGGCACCATTCGTTTAAGTTTTTTTTCTTTCTTCTTGAAGGGTACTACTAAGGCAACTAATTCATTCATTGTTAGAAAACTGTGTTTTAGATTTTATTTTAGTTTTAGTGTATAGAAGGCCGGAGGAAGAAGAAACAAGCGAGGTAGAAGGCTAGACGACGAAGAAGGCAGTTGGACCTTTGGATCTTGATCGGACGGTGGAGAGTGATTTGATTGAACCCAAAAAATAATTCAGTTGCTTGTTTAATAGTTAGCCCATTTGTATATCTACCATCGTTTCAATAAAGCAGATTGATGAATATCTACCGTTAAAATATACTAATGTTAGATCGGTCAATCTCCACCATTCTTTTTTTACCTTCTCAATAATGACTAGCTAGATGCGTGGCCCGCGCATTGACACAGCTTGGTTTATGTATAACGCTTTATTTATAAGTAATTTGGCCCCGATGACAGCTGCTATTTTCTTTAATTCCTCATTACATTAGCATTAATATATAGTTCAAATTATACATATAGAAAATATTGTAGGAATAAAATTCACTTTGAGAAATGTGATGGTATTTTGATGAAGACCTTTTAGTTGAGTATATTAGACCGTTGCAAAAGCACTAGCTATAATATCTATATCAAGCGGTTGAGTGTATTAGACTGTTGCGAAAGCATTCACTATCATATTAATATCAAGCTTTCTATCCTGCATTCCCCATCCCCGTTGTCTATTTTCCACCGATAATTTTGCAAAGAATTATATAGTAGTAACAACTTAAACATTTTATGGGTTGTACTCATTGTGTTCTCTACTTTAACTCTAATCTTCAATGGTCGTATTGCAATTGCATTTTCCAGTACTAAAATATTGTTCCTCCACATGCTCTAATTATCTGTGTTGATTGCAACCCTAAGTTGAGTTTATAATAAAACTGCAACTACTAATGGAATATATTTCAAAATTTGACTATGTATGGTTGACATATGGAGTTTTTAAATTGTTGTTCCAAATTTAATGGACAAAATATAGTTGTATACATATTTATATACCTAATAAAAGTCATATACATGCTCTAAATGTTTAATTAGTATTTTGTTCAAGAGAATATATCTTTACTTTTAGGACACTTTTGGGTGGGTTGCCCGCATTTGCACACCTAAATGTGTGATGTAACTGGTATAGTCACATTTTCAAGTACTTATCTGTTAGCTTGTAGTCATGCTGGCGAGTTGTTCGTCTTTCGGTTCATGTTCATGTCCATTACTATAATTTGCTCCGCGTGCATTGCAGTCTATCATAATATGGTATTATTATTATTATTGCTTTAAAACTCTATGTTCTAACACAATATGTAGAGAAAAAGATTCTACAGTGACCATGCATGCACGTCTTCATCGTGTCCTTCTCCTGAAGGATTTTGATTGCTTATGTATCCGACCAGTTTTCTCCTTCTAAATTGGCATTACATTTTCCAATGCTTGTGTGTACTAAATCTGAACCTATTTTTTGTTGCTTCATCTGAGCAGTTATTTTCCTATTATTTAAATATAATAATAGTTATAATATATTTTAAATTATGTTATTAAATTAACTTGAATATTCTAACTTCTGTAAAGATATTTGTTAACATTTACATTTTGAGTTTATAACTCTATACCTATCATACATGATTGTACAATGTGATTTGGTTATTCGTCTAATGGACAAAAAACATGTAAACAGTTAAAATAGCTTAATTTTGAGCCTAGAGTTCAGATCTTTACATCACATTGGTAATTACCATGAGTGAAAATTTGAAGGAAATAAATGGCACCGAAATTTTTTCTTCTCAAATTTCTATTGTTCATGGCCTAGTTCATATGGAATTCAACTTTTTTTCCCAGGAACCACAATGTTTCTATTAAATTTAGTTCAATTTTCAAACAGCTTGGACAAATTAATTTTTGAAACCACATGTTCTTAAATACAAATTTGAAATCTGGACACTAAGTATGCACATTACAAAAATATTAGCTAAAATTGAAGCTATAAATGTGCGCACCTTTTGTCCTCTAGGAAATTCGATATGGTGTGGATGATATCTTCCTCCGTCCTTGCTTTGGTGCCAGCAGGTAGTTTAGCTCCTACTTGTTGGAGAATACTTGTGAGAACCTCCTTCTTGTTGGCGGTTGGAGTGACGGACACAAAAGCCCGGGACTGGAACTTATTTCCAATCTCCTCATACACAAGGTTGGCAAGGGTTGTTTTGCCCACACCGCCAATCCCAACAATGGATGCCATTTTGAACTGCGGCTGAGCCATTGTGCTCCCTTCTCCTACCAGGTATGTTATGAGGTCCTCTCTCCATCTGCCCATACCAATGATCTCTGACGCATTCTTGCAGACAAATGGAGCTCGATGAGGAGGCAGTTTGCTGGGGATGCTGGATTCTGCCCTTTTTGTTGAATATAAGCTACAGACGCGTTCAGCAGGCTTGATCTTCCACTTGCTGCGGCACCGGGCTGACACATCATCTACTCTTGTCCTGAAATCTTGGAAGGGGCTTGCTTGGATCTTGATCTGTATCTTCAGGTGCTTGTTTCTGTGGCTTGGCTCCATAGTGAGGATGAAGTCGTCGATGGCGTCTTGCATATCATCGGCGAGATCCAGCGCTTCCTTCTTCAACTCCTTGGATTGCGCATCAAGAGTCTCCTTCCCCCATATCGCCCAAAGGATAGAATGCACAAACTTGAGCTTGGATTTGATGAACTTTATGTCCTTCAGAGTCTGGCGCTGAAGCTTGTACTTGCTGCCCAGCAAAGCACCCAGCTTCACGACGACGGGCCCCAAGACCCCCGTGGCTGCTGTCACGGGAGGTCCCTCCATGGCTCAGCTAGGCCGTGCAGGCTGTATGCACTGGAGCGCTTCCGCCAAAGAACATCTATGTGTGTGTGTGTGTGTGTGTGTGTGTGTGTGTGTGTGTGTCGAAGCCGATGCCGGTCCGGCAGCCGTCCTTGCGAACTGTGTCTATCTGGGTAGAACGTGGAGATCAACCTCCAAATGATAACTTCCACTAGTTATCATACCAGCAAACCTAGATTCCATCATTCCAACAAATAAAAAATGGTTCTTTGTCGTGATGATTTGGCAAAGCAGGAGGAAGAGATCGATGTGCTTCTTTTGATTTTTCTAATGAATGAATGGCTAGTCCGACAAGGCAAGCGATCTCAAACGTACTGCACCAAACTGATAACCCAACACAAACCAGAAGCTTATCTTCTTCTTTTCCTTTTTATATTGGAGTTTTACTTCTACTCTCTTCTGCTTTTGAAAAAGCAGTGCTCCATTTGTACCAGCAAAGCAAGGAACAGGATGCTCTCCTTAATTTACTTACCCCAAGAATAGAGTGCCTCTTGGTGGATGCATTCCTTGGAGACCAGCAAAGCTACTCGGTGCTTTTCCAAAAGAACCGCCCTTCCCTTTTCTTTTTCTTTGTTATTGCGGAACACTATCCTTTCGAGCTTTGCCATTTTTCTTTAAGCGTACTGATGTAATGATGAATTTATAATGTGTGCGATTCTTTAGTGTCTTCCATAATCCAGAGAAAATGCTGTGCCTGATAAATAACGAAATGACGCTAATGAAAAATGTTGCACCTTGTTCCTTTGATACAGTCCCCCTTCCACACCTTTTCTCGAATAATTCATGGCCATAACACGCCACCGCTTCTTTTTTCTTTGTGTCTTTGGGGTGACATGCTCCAGGAATGATGCTTCCCTTCTCAAAGGAGCAAAGTTCATGCATGCACGGTCATGGCCATGATGTCAATCATGCATGCAGGAAGCAAAAGCAAAAGCTCAGCAGCTTGCCTACTTTACTTGTGTCCACCACCATCCTTGGTTCCCCGCCCTCTACCCAAGAAACCAATCCAACACAGATGCTGGCGCTGCTCGCAGCAGTGTCCCTCCATCCGCCTGATAAATCCTCTGCCCGACCGGGAGCCACCACGCAGGCCTCCGCCTCTGACACCTTCGACGGCGGCCACTGACTGCTAAGGCCTATTTGGGGGCCAGCATCGCAGGTGCTCCCCCTTGTTTCTCTCTTCTTTTTGAGGGACGAGAGGAAGAGAGATCGATCCAATTAGGAGCATAGCCTCTTGTTTTCTTGCCAAGTTCACAAGAAAACTGGGTAGTATGTAATGTCTACAATTGCCTGAAAATTAATTTCATAACTATGCAAGCATGGACAAAAGATGCGAGACCTACATTTTGTTGATTTTCGTTTCAATCTTGTCGTTAATTTTACAGATCTTCTAGTCGTACTACAGGGTGCTAGATGCCTAAAAAACAGAGTATTATCTAGCATCTAGCATCTATCGGTGAGTAAATTTCCACATGTCGTCTATCAGTGACTAAATTTCCACCCGAGTACTATTGCCATATTTCCATAGGTAGGTTATTTTGTTGGGGACGATTTAGTGTTTCATTACCTAAATTATTTTTCTCACCATGATCGATGACCCGCTTTTGCGGTGTTTTCCCTTTCCTTTTATAGATAGATTGACAACTGCTGAGGAGGTGGCAATGGAAGTTAGCTCTGCCTATGCTTGATTTGAACTTTCTGTGGCCCACTCATCCTTTGCTGCACTTGCAACAACATAGAAGGTGAAGATGGAGATTGTGGTGGGTTCTTAGGAAGCAACCATGAAAATAGAGTTTGACAGGAGTACACCGCACCTGCTTCCACCTGCCTGTGCAGCCGCTGCCTTCGACGGTGGATGCCCTGCCCAGTGTCTGCTCAAGACTCTTCAGTGACCAGCAGCTTTTTGTCCAGTTTGCAGGTGCCTCCTCTGCCCCCAACTCCATTTTCTGTTGTCTGGTAGCTTTTTGTTCCACTTGCCATGGCAGTTGATCTTGACAACCTACCATCATTGCGAACGTGTTTTTCACTCAATTAATTAACGCTGTGACATATAGAAAGTACAAATCGGAAAATCCCATGAAGTGCATAACATCCCCAATTTCCTCAGCATCATATGGAATCTTTAGGCATTGTTGGTTTTCATTTGATTTTTGGGGATAACTTAGTGGTGTTGATATATATTGTGGTTAGCAAATTCTATAAGCCATGATATTAGGTGGGTTGTATGCATAAAATGCAGTCATCAGTGAAACTTTTGTTTGTATAGTTTCTTTGATTGGAGGCAAATTGATAATCGCTAGAATTGTTCCATGATCTGATTGTGGAGACTTTTTATGATTAATTATTTTCTAGCCATAATCAATGCTGACCCTTATCTTCCCCTTTTCCATTCTTTCCATAGATCAACAACTGCTGAGCACTGTCTTTGCACTTGCAAGTTACAACAACGGGAGGCAGATTGTAGTAGTGAAGATCACAGATAAGTAAGATGGAGTTTGTAGTGGGTGCTTCGGAAGCCACCATGAGATCTCTCCTAGGCAAGTTGGGCGGTCTCCTTGCCCAAGAGTACACTCTGATCCGCGGCGTCCGCGGCGACATCCAGTACATCAGCGACGAGCTCGCCAGCATGCAGGCCTTTCTTGGCGACCTCGGCTCTGCCTTGGATGACCACGATCGCCGGCTCAAGAACTGGATGAAGCAGATTCGTGACATGGCATACGACATGGAAGACTGCATCGATGACTTTGCTCATCGCCTCCCTCAGGACTCTCTCAGCGATGCAAGATGCTCCTTCATCGTGACGATAGTCTACGAGATGTGGACGTTCTGGCCTCGCCGTGACATTGCCTCCAAGATTGCCGAGCTCAAGGTCCGGGCACAGTACATTGCTGAGAGGCGCAGCAGATATGGAGTGAACAACCCAAACCCAAGAACAAGCTCCGGAGCCGGAGCAACCCATGATGTTACGTATGGCATTGTTGAGCATTTGGTGGCGAGCCGTCAGCTCATCCGCACAGAGAACCCCGTGGGAGTGAAGGTGGACATGAAGAAGCTCGGAGGTTGGCTAGCCAAACATGATAAAGGCTCTCATCGAGCTGTTATGTCATTGATTGGATTTGGTGGTGTGGGAAAGACCACCATTGCCATGGCACTGTACCGAGATTTCAGGAATGAATTTGACTGCCGGGCATCAGTCACAGTGTCTCAGAACTTTGATGAAGATGAAGTCCTAAGGGATGTTCTTGGGCAAATCAAGCCAGCAGACAATCAAATCAACACAAAGGAGGAGGTGCAGGAGGGCAGCAACGCAGGGAAGGTGGAGAAGAAGAGCCTAGTGATAGGTATTAAAAGCTCAGTTAAGCGAGTTGTGCCACTGCTCTCTGGTCACATGCCGCAAAGCAATGATGGCAGCATGCAGAATAAGATAGAAACAATGAATCGTGACCAGCTTATTGAAGAACTCAAAAAGCGCCTGCTTGGAAGGAGGTACCTCAAAATCATTTCTTTTGTTTTTTCTAAATTACTCGTAGTTCGTTAGTAATGCCCATGTATATGCATCAAGTGTCTAAATTGTAGTAAAGCTGCGATAAAATTGTGTTGTTTACCACAGCCATTTCATTCTGAAGTATGTACAATAGTGAATGAGAAAAGGAATATTTTTCAGAAAATAGAAACCTTATCTAACTAGTGGAGCCTTGATAAATAAACACCAAAATATTAATAGTTAAAGTTGCACAAGGAAGTTTCGTCAAAAAAAAGGTTGCACACGGAATAATTGTGGAAATTTTATAACTGAACTTCAACTTGTTACCAATAGCAATTTTTATAGCTGAACCTAGTTGAGTATAAATAAAAATTTCTGTAGAAAACGTAGCAGGTAACATACTAAAATTGGACCTAAAAAGTAGAATCAAAATCATAAAATTATATCCATCCAATTCATAAAAATATGGCAATTTAGACATAGGTTGGGTCGAACTAGTTGAATTTGTGTTGAATCTGAATACGTATAGGGCTCTCTTGGACTGTTCGGAGGATTTTTTTTTTCTCAGTGGTATGAACTTAAATAAGCTAAGGATGTTTCTTCTCACTTGTATTTTGTTTCCTGTTTTTTGGCAGGTATCTCCTCTTGATTGATGATATATGGTCTGTACAAACATGGGAGACCATTAGAAATTGGTTGCCACATGATAATAATAAGGATAGTAGAGTAATAGTAACAACAAGATTTCAAGCTGTTGGTGCGGCTTGCTCAGAAAGAGATGGGACTGATTATCTGCATACAGTTAATGCCCTAAGTGATGTCGACTCCAAAAGTCTATTTCAACAGGGTGTTTCTGGATCCCCAAGCAGCCAAGAAAGCGGAAGAATGGATACAAGATCTCAAGTTGTTGGTGTTGAGTCCCCTGAAGGAGATGGAACAGATCATCTGCATTCAGCCGATGTCCCAAGTGATGCCAATGCCAAAGGTCCGTTCGATGACAATGTTTCTGATCCACAGAGAAGCAAAGAAAGGGAGATAGGAGAGGTCCATGAGGAGATATGGAAATATTGTGGGGGGCTGCCTTTGGCCATAGTCACCATGGCTGGCCTTGTGGGTTGCAACCCAACAAAAAACAATGATCACTGGAGTAAAGTTTGCAAGTCATTATTTCCGGAGCAGGTGGCTCCCCTTACATTGGAGGGGGTCACAAGGATACTTGATTATTGTTATAACGATTTGCCAGCAGATCTCAAGACCTGTTCATTGTATTTGAGCATATTCCCCAAGGGCTCGAAAGTTAGTAAGAAGCGTCTGACCCGGCGATGGATATCAGAATGTTTCGTCGCTGAGAAGCAAGGGCTGAGTGCAGAGGAAGTGGCAGAAACATACTTCAATCAGCTTGTAAGCAGGAAGATAATATGCCCAGTGGATCACAGCAGCAACGGGAAGGTAAAATCCTTTAAAGTTCATGACATGATCC